GTGCACTGCAACACTCAGGGGAGAGTGAGAGTGTACTGTAACACTCAAGGGAGAGTAAGAGTGCACTGCAGCACTCAGGGGAGAGTAAGAGTGCACTGCAGCACTCAGGGGAGAGAAAGAGTGCACTGCAGGACTCAGGGGAGAGTAAGAGTGCACTGCAACACTCAGGGGAGAGTAAGAGTGCACTGCAGCACTCAGGGGAGAGAAAGAGTGCACTGCAGGACTCGGGGGGAAGAAAAGAGTGGCACTGCAACACTCAGGGGAGAGTAAGAGCGCACTGCAACACTCAGGGGAGAGTGAGAGTGCACTGCAGCACTCGGGGGAGAGTAAGAGTGCACTGCAGCACTCAGGAGAGAGAAAGAGTGCACTGTAGGACTCAGGGGAGAGTAAGAGTGCACTGCAACACTCAGGGGAGAGTGAGAGTGCACTGCAACACTCAGGGGAGAGTAAGTGTGCACTGCAACACTCAGGGGAGAGTGAGAGTGCACTGCAACACTCAGGGGAGAGTAAGAGTGCACTGCAACACTCAGGGGAGAGTGAGAGTGCACTGCAACACTCAGGGGAGAGTAAGTGTGCACTGCAACACTCAGGGGAGAGTAAGAGTGTACTGTAGCACTCAGGGGAGAGTAAGAGTGCACTGCAGCACTCAGGAGAGAGTAAGAGTGCACTGCAGCACTCAGGGGAGAGAAAGACTGCACTGTAGAACTCAGGGGAGAGTAAGAGTGCACTGCAGCATTCAGGGGAGAGTGAGAGTGCACAGTAGGGCTCAGGGGAGAGTAAGAGTGCACTGCCGCACTCAGGAGAGAGTAAGAGTGCACTGTAGGACTCAGCGGAGAGTAAGAGTGCACTGCAGCACTCAGTGGAGAGTGAGAGTGCACTGCAGCACTCAGGGGAGAGTAAGAGTGCACTGCAGCACTCAGGGGAGAGAAAGAGTGCACTGTAGGACTCAGGAGAGAGTAAGAGTGCACTGCAGCACTCAGGGGAGAGTGAGAGTGCACAGTAGGGCTCAGGGGAGAGTAAGAGTGCACTGCCGCACTCAGGAGAGAGTAAGAGTGCACTGTAGGACTCAGGGGAGAGTAAGAGTGCACTGCAGCACTCAGAGGAGAGTAAGAGTGCACTGCAGCGCTCAGGGGAGAGAAAGAGTGCACTGCAGCATTCAAGGGAGAGTAAGAGTGCACTGTGGCACACAGGGATAATAAGAGTGCACTGTGGCACACAGGGATAGTAAGAGTGCACTGTGGCACACAGGGATAGTAAGAGTGCACTGTGGCACACAGGGATAGTAAGAGTGCACTGTGGCACACAGGGACAGTAAGATCGCACTGTGACACACAGGGGATAGTAAGTGTGCACTGTGGCACGCAGGGATAGTAAGAGTGCACTGTGGCACACAGGGATAGTAAGAGTGCACTATGGCACACAGACATAGTAAGAGTGCACTGTGGCACACAGGGATAGTAAGAGTGCACTATGGCACACAGACATAGTAAGAGTGCACTATGGCACACAGAGATAGTAAGAGTGCATTGTAGCACACAGAGATAGTAAGAGTGCACTGTGGCACACATGGGATAGTAAGAGTGCACTATGGCACACAGGGATAGTAACAGTGCACTCTAGCACACAGAGATAGTAAGAGTGCACTATGGCACACACAGATAGTAAGAGTGCACTGTGGCACACAGAGATAGTAAGAGTGCACTGTGGCACACAGAGATAGTAAGAGTGCACTGTGGCACAGAGATAGTAAGAGTGCACTATGGCACACAGAGATAGTAAGAGTGCACAATAGCACACAGGGATAGTAAGAGTGCACTGTGGCACACAGAGATAGTAAGAGTGCACTGTGGCACACAGAGATAGTAAGAGTGCACTGCAGCACGCAGATAGTAAGAGTGCACAATAGCACACAGAGATAGTAAGAGTGCACTGTGGCACACAGAGATAGTAAGAGTGCACTGTGGCACACAGAGATAGCAAGAGTGCACTATGGCACACAGAGATAGTAAGAGTGCACTGTAGCACCCAGAGATAGTAAGAGTGCACTGTAGCACCCAGGGATAGTAAGAGTGCACTGTGGCACACAGAGATAGTAAGAGTGCACAACAGCACACAGGGATAGTAAGAGTGCACTGTGGCACACAGAGATAGTAAGAGTGCACTATGGCACACAGAGATAGTAAGAGTGCACTGTAGCACACAGAGATAGTAAGAGTGTACAATAGCACACACGGATAGTAAGAGTGCACAGTGGCACACAGAGATAGTAAGAGTGCACAATAACACACAGGGATAGTAAGAGTGCACTGTAACACACAGAGATAGTAAGAGTGCACTATGGCACACAGAGATGGTAAAAGGGCACTGTGGCACACAGAGATAGTAAGAGTGCACTATGGCACACAGAGATAGTAAGAGTGCACTGTAGCACACAGAGATAGTAAGAGTGCACAGTAGCACACAGGGATAGTAAGAGTGCACTGTGGCACACAGAGATAGTAAGAGTGCACAGTGGCACACAGAGATAGTAAGAGTGCACAATAACACACAGGGATAGTAAGAGTGCACTGTAACACACAGAGATAGTAAGAGTGCACTATGGCACACAGAGATGGTAAAAGGGCACTGTGGCACACAGAGATAGTAAGAGTGCACTGTAGCACACAGAGATAGTAAGAGTGCACTATGGCACATAGAGATAGTAAGAGTGCACAATAGCACACAGGGATAGTAAGAGTGCACTGTGGCACACAGAGATAGTAAGAGTGCACAATAGCACACAGGGATAGTAAGAGTGCACTGTAGCACACAGAGATAGTAAGAGTGCACTATGGCACACAGAGATAGTAAGAGTGCACTGTAGCACACAGAGATAGTAAGAGTGCACAGTAGCACACAGGGATAGTAAGAGTGCACTGTAGCACACAGGGATAGTAAGAGTGCACTGTAGCACACAGGAGAGAATAACAGTGAAGTGTGGCACTCAAGAGAGTTCTACATTGTCACAGTCCATCGTCTTAATGAGGTGGTCGGTGTGTGTGGCCTGCTTCACACCACTCATCACAGTGCCAGGTGGCATCCTTCCTCCTGGGATCCACCACACATCTCTAACATTTTTCTCTGTCTTTCTCTCTCTTTATTTTCCCAGCTATTGCTGCTCATAAATTTCTTCTCGGCCGTATGCAAATTACACACACACACACACAACACACACACACACACACACACACCACACACACACACACACACAAAACACACAAACAAAACACACACACACACACACACAGCACACATACACATACACACACAAACCACCACACACACTGGGTAACTACCTGAGAAATGGAAGACAGCAAATGTAGTCCCCATATTTAAGAAAGGAAACATAAATGAGGCACTAAACTACAGACCTGTGTCTCTGACATGCATTGTGTGCAAAGTCATGGAGAGAATTATCAGAGGAGAGTGTCGAACACCTGGAACGGAACAAAAATTAAATAAAACCACATGGGTTCATGGAAAGCAAATCCTGTGTCACAAACCTTCTGGAGTTTTATGACAAGGTAACAGAAGTAAGACACGAGAGAGAGGGGTGAGTTGATTCCGTTTTCCTAGACTGCAGGAAGGCCTTTGACACAGTTCTCCACAAGAGATTAGTGCAGAAGCTGGAGGATCAGGCGCATATAACAGAGAGGGCACTGCAATGGATCAGGGAATACCTGACAGGGAGGCAACAACGAGTCATGGTACGTGAAGAGGTATCACAGTGGGCGCCTGTGACGAGCGGGGTCTCACAGGGGTCAGTTCTAGGACCAGTGCTATTTTTGATATATGCGAACGACATGATGGAAGGAATAGACTCTGAAGTGTCCCTATTCGCAGATGACGTGAAGTTGATGAGAAGAATTAAATCGGATGAGGATGAGGCAGGACTGCAAAGACACCTGGACAGGCTGGACATGTGGTCCAGAAACTGGCTTCTCGAATTCAACCCTGCCAAATGCAGTCATGAAGATTGGGGAGGGGCAAAGAAGACCGCAGACAGAGTATAGGCTAGGTGGACAAAGACTACAGACCTCTCTTAGGGAGAAAGACCTTGGGGTGACCATAACACCCAGCACGTCACCGGAGGCACACATCAACCAAATAACTGCTGCAGCATACGGGCGCCTGGCAAACCTGAGAATAACGTTCCGATACCTTAATAAGGAATCGTTCAAGACACTGTACACTGTGTATGTAAGGCCCATACTGGAGTATGCAGCACCAGTCTGGAACCGACACCTGGTCAAGCACGTCAAGAAGTTAGAGAAAATACAAAGGTTTGCAACAAGGCTAGTCCCAGAGCTCAGGGAATGTCGTACAAGGAAATGTTGAGGGAAATCGGACTGACGACACTGGAGGACAGAAGGGTCAGAGGAGACATGATAACGACATACAAGATACTGCGGGGAATAGACAAGGTGGACAGAGATAGGATGTTCCAGAGAGGGGACACAGGAACAAGGGGTCACAACTGGAAACTGAAGACTCAGACGAGTCACAGGGACGTTAGGAAGTATTTCTTCAGTCATAGAGTCGTCAGGAAGTGGAATAGCCTAGCAAGTGAAGTAGTGGAGGCAGGAACCATACATAGTTTTAAGAAGAGGTATGACAAAGCTCAGGAAGCAGAGAAGGAGAGGACCTAGTAGCGATCAGTGAAGAGGCGGGGCCAGGAGCTGAGTCTCGACCCCTGCAACCACAATTAGGTGAGTACACACACACACACACACACTCATATATATTATATATATATATATATATATATATATATAATATATATATAATATATATATATATATAATATATATATATATATATAGTATGTAGTTGGAATGTTCGAATCTCAGCTCCTGGCCTTTCAGCCGCCTGTTTCATTAGGGTCTTGCTTCAAATGCCCTGTCGTTCCTCGCATTAAAGCTGTGTATTCTGTATAAAGTGAAGTGGTACTTACAGTTTACAGTCAGATTGAGAGGTGCACTGTGGGCGTCACCCTCGACGTTGGAGGCTGAACAGACGTAAGGACCAGCCCAGTGTCGAGTTACCCCTCGAAGGGCCAGGCTGTTCCCACTCACAACTACCCCATCCTCCGGGGAGTGGTAGATGGCTTTGTCCTATAGGAGAAAAACAAGATGGTGGTGGGTGGGGAGTGGTGAGAAAAAGCAGAAGGTTGAGAGAGAGCTCCGTCAGTGTATGACTGAGTTGTGTGGGTCTAAGAGAGAGCTCTGTCAGTGTATGACTGGGTTGTGTGGGTCTAAGAGAGAGCTCTGTCAGTGTATGACTGAGTTGTGTGGGTCTAAGAGAGAGCTCTGTCAGTGTATGACTGGGTTGTGTGGGTCTAAGAGAGAGCTCTGTCAGTGTATGACTGAGTTGTGTGGGTCTAAGAGAGAGCTCTGTCAGTGTATGACTGGGTTGTGTGGGTCTAAGAGAGAGCTCTGTCAGTGTATGACTGGGTTGTGTGGGTCTAAGAGAGAGCTCTGTCAGTGTATGACTGAGTTGTGTGGGTCTAAGAGAGAGCTCTGTCAGTGTATGACTGGGTTGTGTGGGTCTAAGAGAGAGCTCTGTCAGTGTATGACTGGGTTGTGTGGGTCTAAGAGAGAGCTCTGTCAGTGTAATGACTGGGTTGTGTGGGTCTAAGAGAGAGTCTGTCAGTGTATGCTGGGTTGTGGGGTCAAGAGAGAGCTCTGTCAGTGTATGCTGGGTTGTTTTGGGTCTAAGAGAGAGCTCTGTCAGTGTATGACGGGGTTTGTGTGGGTCTAGAGAGAAGCTCTGTCAGTATATAAACTGGGTTTTTGTGGGTCTGAGAGAGAGCTCTGTCAGTATATGACTGGGTTGTGTGGGTCTGAGAGAGAGCTCTGTCAGTATATGACTGGGTTGTGTGGGTCTGAGAGAGAGCTCTGTCAGTATATGACTGGGTTGTGTGGGTCTGAGAGAGAGCTCTGTCAGTATATGACTGGGTTGTGTGGGTCTGAGAGAGAGCTCTGTCAGTATATGACTGGGTTGTGTGGGTCTAAAAGAGAGCTCTGTCATAAAAATGACTGGGTTGTTGGGTCTAGAGAGCTCGTCAGTAATGACTGGGTTGTGTGGGTCTGAGAGAGAGCTCTGTCAGTATATGACTGGGTTGTGTGGGTCTAAAGAGAGCTCTGTCAGTATATGACTGGGTTGTGTGGGTCTAAAAGAGAGCTCTGTCAGTATATGACTGGGTTGTGTGGGTCTAAAGAGAGCTCTGTCAGTATATGACTGGGTTGTTTGGGTCTAAAAGAGAGCTCTGTCAGTATATGACTGGGTTGTGTGGGTCTAGAGAGAGCTCTGTCAGTATATGACTGGGTTGTGCCGTGACTGTCGTTATAACCCACTCAGCTGCTGCTGCATGTATCATAATGCAACATGTAGGCTAGGTGGTGTGCAGTAATACAGACTGCAACCTGAGCGATACAACATCAGTAGTAAGTAGTCACGGGGGTTCATTTAGGTATGTGTGCACATGTGCGATCATCCTAGGATAGTACAGCGGATGATAGTGGACAATAATGAAAGTTATGGTGTTAAAAAATGAGAAATTGCCTAGTTATTATAAAAAAGAAAAGCCTTAATAGGAGAATTCACACAGGCATATTAACTGGCACTTGAGAGTATTTCCTCAATATTCTGAAATGTTCTGCGACACTGGTTGACAAAATGAGGGATTTATTTCCCCTATTTCAGTAGTTAGAAGGTTGTTCACATTAGCTGTATTCTGTATGTAAATGATCCACTGTTGTAATGTAACTTCTTACGTCACATGACATATTCCCAGCGGTTAGAAGCTTAGGGCTGGCTATTAACTACCTATCTATCTATCTATATCATTATGTATATATATATAAATATATAATATAATTTTATATATATATATAATAAATATATAAAATATTTTAATATATATATAAAATATATATATAAAAAAAATCGAAAAATAAAAATTAATTTTTATATAATATCAAAATTATAAAGTAAAAAATAAAATTATATAATTTATAATATATATAATATATTTTTATATATATATAATAATATATATATAAAATATTATATAAATATATAATATATATATATATATATATAAATACTTATATATACATAAAATAATAATAATAAAATAATAATAATAATAATAATAATAATAAAATAATGCAGTTATTGTTGGAAGTATAATAGTGGCAGTTAGGTTGAAGATATATTTTCTCATAAATTTGGTGCACAACACAGAGCTCTGATTAATAGCAACACATTGTTGCTATTTATGGTTCTCTGTCTTGCAAGTTTGCATAACAAATGATCAATTAGGAAATTATTTTGAGATTTACTTTGGTTACTGGGATATGATTACTTTATTACCGGGTTGATGACATAACTGAATTACTTTTCCAGACTTTTATCCACAGTATATTATTATTTATTATTATTATTATTATTATTATTATTGTTATTATTATTATTATTATTATTATTATTATTATTATTATTATTGTTATTATTATTATTATTATTATTGTTATTATTATTATTATTATTATTATTATTCAGAGAAATATGCTAAACCCACTGAGATTATGTAGTACCTAGATAACAGAATGTAATCAGTTTTAATGAAGGGAAGGGGTGAATATCTCCAGTTCCTTGGACCAAGTGCCCTTCCATATCAAGACAACCCCCCCTCCCATCTCATTTGAAGTGTGGTCAACATACATGTTAACCACACATATACAGAGCACATTCGCCACCCCCTCTTTCCCTATCTGTCTCTCACACACACATACACAGCTTAAAGAACAGGTATGATAGGGCACCATGAAGTGCCAGGAAAGAGTAACTGAATAATAGTTAAGCGGGGACTTAACCTATAGAACCACAAACATACATATACACGCACCTAGGAGGAAACAAGAGTTGAGTCTCGACCCTCGCAACCATATATAGGTGAGTACACACACACACACACACGCACACACACACACACACACACACACACACACACACACACACACACACACACACACGCACGCACACACACACACATACACACACACAAACGCGCGCGCGAGCAAAGAAAGACAGACACAGAAGACAGACACACAGACACACAAAGACAGACAGACACACACACACACACACGCACACACACAAAGAAAGATACACACACAAAGACAGACAGACAGACAGACAGACAAACACACACACATACACACACACAAAGAAAGACGAGCAAACAGAGAGACAGACACATACACACACACACACACTGGGACCGGACATCTCCCCGTGGGTCCTTAGAGAGGGAGCAGAAACGCTGTGTATCACTAACCACAATCTTCAACATATCCCTTGAAACTGGGCAACTACCTGTGTCTCGATTCCTGCAACCACAATTAGGTGAGTACAGACACACACACACACACACACACACACAAAGGGAATACTATGATACTAACAAAAATACGCAAAAAAGAAGCAAAACTGAACATTTGAACTCTGCCAAGTTGAAGACTCAGACATACGTGCAGCAACTGGGTATCTTTATCATGTAGACGTTTCGCCCACCAGTGGTTTTATCAGCACAGTACAGTGACAAACAGAAGACTGAGGAGGGTTTAAGATGAGGTAATCAGTCCCTCGGTCTAGCAACGGGTCTTGTATACCATAGTCTTGACCAATCAAGACTACGGTACACAAGACCTGGTGAGTCACAGAACTCAAACATCTCACAGTAAACAAGACAGAACTCAAACATCTCACAGTAAACAATACAGAACTCAAACATCTCACAGTAAACAAGACAGAACTCAAACATCTCACAGTAAACAAGACAGAACTCAAACATCTCACAGCAAACAAGACAGAACTCAAGCATCTCACAGCAAACAAAACAGAACTCAAACATCTCACAGTAAACAAGACAGAACTCAAACATCTCACAGTAAACAAGACAGAACTCAAACATATCACAGTAAACAAGACAGAACTCAAACATATCACAGTAAACAAGACAGAACTCAAACATCTCACAGTAAACAAGACAGAACTCAAACATTCACAGTAAACAAGACACAACTCAAACATCTCACAGCAAACAAGACAGAACTCAAGCATCTCACAGCAAACAAGACAGAACTCAAACATCTCACAGTAAACAAGACAGAACTCAAACATCTCACAGTAAACAAGACAGAACTCAAACATCTCACAGTAAACAAGACAGAACTCAAACATCTCACAGCAAACAAGACAGAACTCAAACCTCTCACAGTAAACAAGACAGAACTCAAACATCTCACAAACAAAGCCTCCCACAACTCCACAATACGAAGGACAAAACTGATTTAAGAAAGAGAGAAGTATTGAGAGAAACTTTACAAGTATCGTGTTAAGTTTGAGAGAGAGAGGGAGCGCAAACATCAGTGATATTGAAATACAAAATCCTTGTTATCTAAAGCAAAAATCTACAAAGAAAGATCTAACATGGCGTCTATAACAGCTGTCTATGATAGCTGTCATAGACTCCACGTATATCTTATTTCAGTGTATATATCTTATTTCAAAAATAAGATATGTACACTGTATACATAAAAGATAGCTCACACTTTAAGAAAATGGCTGGAAAAATTATTACACGAACTACAGACCGGTAGCATTAACATCTCACCAGTGTATATACACCGACAACTGATTTTAATTCGTGTAATAATGACAAGTAGTGAACAGATATAATGCAGTGTTAATGATGACTGCGTAGTCAAGGGATCTTAAAATCTGACAAGACACACGCACGCACACCACACACACACACACACACACACACACATATATATATATATATATATATATATATATTATATATATATATATATATGTCGTGCCGAATATGTAAAACTGGTCAATTAGCAAGAACTCATTTGAAATTAAATCCTTTCTAAAATTTTCTCTTATACGCTTAAAGATATATTTTTTCATTAATGTTAAAGTAAAAATTTTTAATTTTGCACCAAAACAATCTTAGAAAACTTACCTAACCTTATTATAACAAGAACAATTTATTTTAGCCTAACCCAACTAAATATATTTTAGATTTGTTTAC